AGGGGGGGGGGTAACCGGGGGACCACGGTGCGGAAAGCGGTGGCAGAAGGAAACGGACTCATCAAAGGTAACGTCACGGGAGTGAAAGAAACGGTGGGACGGCGGGTGGTAGAAGTGCCAGTCGGACGAGTCAAGGGGGAAACCAAGGAAGACACAGGGGACAGTGCGGGCAGAAAGCTTGTCCGTGCCAGAGGCACGAACGTGAGCAAGGCATCCCCAGACGTGGAACGCAGATGCGTCACCAGGAGACCCGGTCCAAAGAAGGGTCGGCGAAACCTGCGGCCGCTGATAGTGCGGCCACAGGTTAAGCTGGTGAGCACTGTAGCGAACCGCGAACGGCCACAGAAAATGGGGTGCACCGGCGTGGATCATGGAGGTATGAGCGACCTCTATGACCAAACCGATGCGTCGCTCAGCAACCCCATTCTGCTGCGGCGATAGAAGGGTGAACGTCTGGGTGATGCCCTCCGCACGATAGAAGCGACCAAGGACACCGGAGGCAAACTCGCCACCACGGTCAGAGTGAAGACGCAGGACAGGGAGACCGCGGTGGATACGAGCATAGACTAGCCAGAGGATAAGAACGTCAAGCATGTCGGCCTTCCGCTCCAAGGGAAAAACCGTGGTGTAGCGCGTGTAGTCATCGACAAGCACGAGGAAGTAGTGCTTGAGATGCGGTCCATGGACGGGGGCGAGGCCCCAGACGTCCATATGCAAGGTCTGTAGCGGTGCGGTGGTGGGGGGGAAAGAGGAGGAGTGAGTGAGGGGCACGGCGGAGCCGACCCTCGATGTAGGGCGTGCACGGTGGCGCTGTGGAGGGGGGCAACGCGGGGAACGACCCTGGGAGACCTAGGACAAGACCGTGCTGTGACATGTGACGGAGACGCGGGAGCGCAGGGTGACCTAGACGGTGGTGCCTCAGGAGGGTCGGGTGAGTAAGCGACCGACACGAGCAGGCCGCTGCAACCTGAGACGACACAGCTACCTGGGGAGGCATCCGAACCGGGGGGGGGGGGCGTGGTGTCTAGTGTGAACAGGCCAGACACCGAGTCCCGGGGGAACGTAGCGAGGGGAGCACCAATGGCGGCCTCAGTACAGACAGCAAGCCGCTCGTGACCAGGGAACGTAGTGGTGACGCCAAGGTCCTGGATGCAGCCAACACCAACAAGGTTCCTGGAAAACGAGGGGACGTACAAGCCTGTGAGCGAGCCGGAAGGAGCCGCTGGGCAGGGAAGGGTGGTAGAACTACGAGCGACTACCGGTTCGGAGGAGGGGTCAGCAAGGGAAACCGCAGCAGGAGTCGCAAGCGGGGACAGCGTGGTGGAGTCGCGGAAGAAACACCGGGAAGCGCCAGAGTCCAGGGTGAAGGTGAGCGCAGCAGTGGCGGCCGGGGTCGAAGTAGCGACGGAGGAACCTAGGCTAAACAAAGCAGGAGGTCCTATGCCTGACGCAGCAGGGGGGGCACGATTAGGCACACCTACACTAGGCAACACGGGGTAGTAAGAACCTGTCACACTAGAGTCATCAGCATACAGAACATACAGGGCAGAGCTAAGCTCATCCATGTCCATATCAAAATTCGGAATACTACGACGAAGCAAGCTGAACCAGTCGGGGAGGTCGGGTGACGGGCCGAAGCGAAGATGAAACAGGTCGTCAAGGCGACCGAAGCAGCGAGCAGGGGAGTGACCGGTCTTACCGCAAATGGAGCCGCGGCGAGGACCGGTCCGAAGCTGGTACTGGCAGCGCTCGTCACCCGAACTGCCACCCGGGAGCACACCACGCGCACGTCCACCACCACGTCCACCGCCGCCACTAGCGCCAGGCCACCCGGGCGGGAGACCACTCGCCCGCCTCTGCTGCTGCGGCTGGAGCTGGGGCTGCGGCTGCGGGTGGTGCTGGTCCGGCTGCGATGGCTGCGGCTGCTGGGACGGCTGCTTAACGGCACCAGGGACAGTCCCCTCGTCTGCGCCACCACTAGGCGCTCCGACTCCACTGCCACCTCCACCTGCACCCCCACCCCCTCCGCCGTGCCCAGCCTTGGGGTGGCGACCCTTCCCCGGACGGAGCTGCGCTGCAGCAGCAGTCTCAGCCACAGCAGCAGAACCGTCGGAGAAGGTGCACTGGGCAGGGGCACAACCTTGAAAGATGGGGATCGGCACAGTACCGCTAGTCTGGGCGATAAAACGGTGGCGGGTCTCTATGGAAGACAGGGTGTCGACAAAGTCGATGAGGGTGAGGTCACCGGGGTGGACGCTAAGGAAGCGGTCGCGGGTAGTGGCAAGACGGTCAGGGAGGCGGGTGGCTAGTAGGTAAAGGGCAGAGCAGAGGGGCGGCTGATGAGCTCTAAGCTGGGTCTCAGTGCAGGCAGAGCGCCAGGTCGCGTCTATCGTGCGCAGGTGGGCGGCAAGGTCAGCGACAGTAGGGAAAGTCTCAAGGTCAGGAAAAAGCATCGGCAGGATCAAGCGACCTACAGAAGCAGCAGGCGAGGTGGAATAGCACTGGAAAACAGCATCTAGGAATGCCTGCGCAGTCATGATGGACTTAGAGCGAGGGCGCTCAGAGAGTGGGAGGGCATGGCTGATAGCAAGCTGCGCAACAGCGTCACGCGACAGCCAGACAGAGCGAGCAAGGGCAGTAGCGGCAGCGGACTCACGCTCAATAGACGAGGGGTCAGCAGGCAGCGCAACAGGGGGGTCAGGGCAGGGGAGCGTACCGTCAAGGTGGACAAACAGCGATTGGCCACCCTGCCGCTGACCAATGAGATGGCGGCGGAGGTCGACCAGCCACGCGTCAAACTCAAGCGGTTGACCCTCAGCGTTGAAGCGAAGTACCTCCGCCATCAGGAACGATGCAGAGCGGTGCAGTGCGGTACTGGGCGGTGCAGTGCGGTGCAAAGCGGTGCAGTGCGGTGCAGAGCGATGCAGGGCGGTGCAGTGCGGTGCCGAGCGGTGGAGTACGGTGCCAAGTGGTGGAGAGCGGCTCCAGGCGATGCAGGGCGGAGCAGATCGGAGAAGGACGAACCGGGCACGAGGCAGAGACGGGCCGGCGGCGTAGCGAACCCGGGGCCGGCTCGAAGAGGGGGGGCGGGGCCGACGAGGGACGGGCGCGAGGGGCCGGCGAGGAGCGGGCGTAACAGGGGCGCGAGGGGCCGGCTAGGAGCGGGCGCGAACGGCCAGGGCGCCGGCTAGGAGGGGCGCGACGGCCAGGGGGGCAGCTAGGGGCGGGCGCGAACGGCCAAGGGGCCGGCTAGGAGTGGGCGCGACGGCCAGGGGGCCAGGTAGGGGCGGGCGCGAACGGCCAGAGGGCCAGCTAGGGGCGGGCGCGACGGCCAGGGGGCCGGCTAGGGGCGGACGCGACGGCCAGGGGGGCAGCTAGGGGCGGGCGCGATGGCCAGGGGGCCGGCTAGGGGCGGGCGCGACGGCCAAGGGCCCGGCTAGGGGCGGACGCGACGGCCCGGGGGCCAGCAAGGGGCGGGCGCGACGGCTAGGGGGCCGGCTAGGGGCGGACGCGATGGCCAGGGGGCCAGTTAGGGGCGGGCGCGACGGCCAGGGGGCCGGCTAGGGGCGGGCACGACGGCCAGGGGACCAGCTAGGGGCGGGCACGAAGGCCAGGGGGGGCCGGCTGGGGGCGGACGCGACGGCCGGGGGGCCAGCTAGGGGCGGGCGCGACGGCCAGGGGGCCGGCTAGGGGCGGACGCGACGGCCAGGGGGCCGGCTAGGGGCGGACGCGACGGCCAGGGGGCCGGCTAGGGGCGGACGCGACGGCCAGGGGGCCGGCTAGGGGCGGACGCGACGGCCAGGGGGCCAGCTAGGGGCGGGCGCGACGGTCAGGGGGGCCAGCTAGAGGCGGGCGCGAACGGCCAGGGGGCCGGCTAGGGGCGGACGCAACGGCCAGGGGGGCCAGCTAGGGGCGGGCGCGAACGGCCAGGGGGGCCGGCTAGGAGCGGGCGCGAAGCGGCCAGGGCGCGCCAGCTAGGGGCGGGGCACGAGGAGGGGGCTAGGGCCTAGGGCGGAAGCGCAGGCGGGCGAGAGGAACCTAACCTACTCATGATACCATGTTAGAATGAGAGAATAACTAGAATAGAAAGATACAGGGCAATATAGACTAGTGTGTTGTACCCTCTAAGGCACAGACCTGTATAGTCTACAGTAACAACATGAGTTATGTTTGACACTCCTCTCTTCAAGTCCCACAATTCCCGATGCACTTGTACTATCTGTTTGGTCTAACTTGTGGAAACTTGTGAAATACAACTTGCAGCGGTCCTGTTTCGTTAAGCCAAATGCCAGAGGTCGTTGAAATTGTTGGGAAATTGAAGGGCTCCGGAAAGGCATTTTCAACTAGGACATTGGGCAATGGCAAGGGATTGAATGAGGGAAGATCTGTTGTGAACTGAACTAGCAAGAAAGGAGAAGGCTGCAATGAAATGGCGGCCGAGGTTTAGCTAGGGAGATTGACGAGAGAGAAGAGAGTCGATTAGGAAGAGAGAGGAATACAAGGAGGGGATTGTACCCTCTACAGTAAGGTTCAGTAACAACTACCAAGCCTATCAATTATATATAACTTAAATAATTTTAACAAGATCTAACTAGAGGGAAGCAGGCTCAAATGAGGATACTTCCAAGTGTTCGGTTCACCATTCGTTTTTTTCTTCATAGTAACATTGATGCAGAGGCGGTGCCTGCTACATTGTTACGTATGCGTGTTTTATTTTATTTGCCAGAAGTAGGCATAGGGGCATTGGTGCGAGTGGCAGTTTGTAAGGATAAGTAAGAAATACAGAAACACATTAATTCTATCCAATGTTCTTGAAGGAAACATTGGTTTATTCTTGCAGCTGTACATTCTACAGGGATGTTGCATGACGCTATGCCGGGGCCCTGATCACTTCGACATAATATTTCTGTATAGCGGTCTTGTGTGTAACGGAACAAGGGCGTGTGTTTCAACCGTCAAAATCATTTCTTTGTCCATTTTGGAAGAGTCGTGCTGAGATGTGATGACCAGGAAGCAATGGTGCACTAATGATTTCTTGGACCACTCCATGCTTGCTTCAGAATTGTGGTTTTTGTAGTCACTTGGGGCTTGGTCCCTGTCGTGGCGGGCTATGGGAACCAGCGTGGCAGCCGTGATAAGTTATTACAGGAACCGATGGAACGAAGAGAGTGAGCCGGAGGTCAGGGATATGCCATATGCCCTTATATTCGCCTTCGTGCTTCCAGCCGCTCGATTTATTCTGGACAAGTCCGTTTTCGAGGTACTGAAGCCGCTGTCCGCTGTTTCGATTAGTTTTTAGACGTCGACTTAAGGCTATTTCGTTCTCTTGCAGATCTTGGCAAGAAGGTTCGTCCGTAGCAAAGCTATTTGGAAAAGGGATGACTCGCTCACCTCAGATAAGGGTTCTCCGGCTGCCATTGACAGGGAGGCCCTGTTGAAGACTCACTCTAAATACAAGGAGTCGCTGTGGAAGATCGCCTACTATCTCTCGTCATGCATCTTCTGCTTCTTTGTGACGTTTGGAGAACCCTGGCTCACGGATACGAAGTATTACTGGATCGGACCTGGTTCGAAAGTCTGGCCAGATCAAATGGCGAAGCAAGTATCTCGTGCAAACTTCTCCATGTGATTTGCCCCGGGAATTCGCTCTGATCAGACTGTGTTGCTTCATTTCGGATTTCAGGCTGAAGGCCAAGGTCCTGTTCGGCTACTTCGCGGGATTCTACGTCTATAGCATCTTCGCCATTCTCTTCTGGGAGACTCGACGCAAGGACTGGCTTGTTCATTTGATCCATCATATTTGTTGCGTAACCATGTCAATTGTCTGCTATCACTTCAGGTAAGGGCCTCCCGATTTTGCATCCCTGAATTCTGAAGCTAGCCGTACCTACATAAGTTCTCGTATGTGCCTTGTGCAGGGTATTCCGAATGGCCCCTGCAGTCATAGGACTACACGATATAAGCGACGTGCTGCTTGAGGTCGCAAAGCTGTGCTTATACTCAAAATTTGAGCTGGGAGCAAATGTTTCTTTTGCACTTTTCGCGACAACCTGGGTGATGTTCAGGTTGTGGTGGTTCCCTCGAAACGTCCTGTACAGCTTCTGGTATGTCACTGAGCTTGTACGAGGTTGCTCTGAATTCGATGATTTCTCTCACGTTCATAATGGCGTCTGGTCGTCTCGCAGCTGCCACTCTTCCCCTTTTCCACAAAGCCCATTCACTTGCATCCTTGTTTTTTATTCCAGCTCTCCCATTTGCCATTCATTTGACTCTGTTGCAAATGCTTCCATGTGCTTTCCCTGGTGTTTCAGTTGTGAAACGATCAAATACTGGGATCTGAAAAGATACCCAGTACTCCTTCCACGGCTCTACTACGCCCTCAACTTCGCAACTATTATGATGATAGAAATGCACTGCTACTGGTGGATACTCATCTGTAGAGTACTATACAGGCAGCTAGTCGCTGGCCGTGTGGAAGGCGACGTCCGATCTGGTAAGTTCCTTTCGAGTGAGCTTCGACTTGCTGTGAGCTGCTGCTGGTGATGTTCTGGTGAATGTCTTACTGATCTCTGCTCTGTTTCTGCAGATGAAGAAGATGATTGACAGTTTTGGTGGTATTAGCTTGCCTTGAACTGTTGATCTCCACTCTGTATTGTTTTTCCACCACAATGTCCACTGGCAGTTTTTGCTAACCCCTCATTATACCATTACCCAGTGGAATCCATTCTAGCACAGTGCAGGTCCTACCAAACTGCCCGAGTCTCCACAGTTCTAACAAAGCTCGTGAACATTGATTGCTCCTGATTCTGATGCCAGATGCTCGCTAACCTTTGCCAGGCAAACTTGCTGAGCTAGGTGATGACAGAACATTTAATGAAAGAAACGCTACTACAAGAGTGCTGTAAGTGTGTGCCCCATATGTGCATGCATGCATGAATGTAGTATGTCCACACATGAAGGGAAAAGGAAGCATACATGGAGCCTGCCTACACAAAGCAATGAGATGCTGTGGACAGGACAGAATGAGAAGAACTGACAGCCACAGACAAGGCACAACGGTCAAGAGGAGGCTGGTATCATGACACGGTCTGGGATGATGCCAGTCAGCTCCGTGCAGATGGCAAGAACCATGACAAACATCAGCTCTTCAGCTGTGTTCTTGAATCCATGTTTTCCTCTTTGTAATCAGAAGCACCACCTGATTCTTCACACCAGTGGATCCACACTGAGGCTCCAGAGGCTTCACGAACCTTGAGGTCATGACTAGAGGACAGTGCACAGGAGGACAGGACCACACGGGAGGTTCATGAGCAAAACAACAGGAGCACGCAAAGCATATTTTACTCTGCAACACAGGAAAAAAGAGACGCGCAAAAAGCAGCAGCCAGGGTTCTTGACCTACCTCTTCCATCCATGGAAAGCACATCCCTGCTCACTGTGCACCACCACCTGCCCTCCCTCCAGTGCCCGCTGCCACTTCTGCCATGAACTGCGCATACTCATTCTGACCTGCCGCCGCAGCTCCCTCCCCTCCCGGTGCTCCCTCGCTCCCCGCCCCACCAAGCAGCCCCGGAGCAGCACTCGCCATGTGCGCCCCACCCTTAACTGCACCTGCTGACACTGCTGCTGCCATGGCTGCTGCTGCTGCTGCAGACGTGGGAGCCCATGAAGGGGGTTGTGGCACAGCCCCTGCTGCTGCTGCTGCTGCTGCTGCAGCAGCTGCAGCTGCAGCTTCTGCTGCCGGATCCATATGGGGATAGAGGGGAGCAGGAGGGCAAGGAGGCTCCATGCCCGGAGGGGGCTCTGCTGCTGCACCCACGTCAAAAGCCGCAGCAGATGCACCAGGGGGGGGAGTGGAAGTCCCTGGGGGCAATTCCACATCCTCATACACGCCAGGCGGGCCCACCATATCAGGGTACGCACCAGGCGGGGGCGCATAGTCCGGGGGGAACGCATGGGGGAGGAACCCGCCTGGGGGGGGCGCTGATGGGCCATACGGGGGGAAAGGAGGCGGGGGATAGGGAGGCGGGACGTTGCCGGGAGGAGGGGGGCCGCAGAGGCCAAAGGGGGGTGGGGGGCCGCCAGGGGGAAGCGCCCAAGGGGGAGGAGGGGCGCACGGGTCCACAGGGCCAGGGGGTGGGTAAGGGGGAGGGGGGCCGTAGGGAGGGCGCAGAGGGGGCGGACCCATGTGGGGCGGGGGACCATGGGGGCCGGGAGGGGGGGGACCACCAGCAGGGCCACCAGTGCCAGGCAGTCCAGGAGGGCCAGAGGGCCCATGGGGACCAGCAGGCCCGCCAGGATGGCCAGGAGCGCCAGGACCAAGACCCGGACCACCACCACCACCAACTCCTCCTCCTCCCGGTCCTCCTGGCCCTCCCGGACCTCCCGGACCTCCTCCTGGTCCACCAGGTGCACCGCCGCCCTGCTGGTTTTTAGCAGTGGACCGCACGACGATGGTTTTGCCCTCAGTGCGGTACCCGTTGAGCCCTTGTGTGGCCGCCAGGGCTGCCGGGCGGTCCACAAACCGCACAAACCCGAACCCCCGGCTCATGCCCGTGTTGCGGTCTCGGATGATCTTTGTCTCGATAATGCGACCGAATGGGGCGAAGAGAGAGTATAGCCCCTCATCGTCCATGGACTGGGGTAAGTACCCCACGTACAGGTTGCAGTCGTCTTCCACTCGGCCCGACCCCCTGCCCCCCCCACCGCCGCCATGCTCCCCACCCCCTCCTCCCTGCTCGCCTCCCCTCTCTCCCCGCTCCCCTCCCCATCCACTTCCGCGCTCCTCCCCTCCCCCTCGCCCTCCCCCGCCACCATCCCCGCCCTCTCCCCCAATCGGTCCCCCCACGCCCCCGCCAACTTCCGCCAGGAACGACATATACTCCTCATCAAGCTTCTGCCCCTGCGCCGACCCACCCCCTCCCCCTCCTCCCCCTCCGCTCTTCATGGGGCAATCCACAGTAGGATGCCCCCCATCCCCACAGATGCGGCAGGTGACCTCAGACCGGAAGGTGGAGTGCCGCTCAGGGCAGTTGTACTGGCGGTGGCCCTGCTCCCCGCACAGCCGGCACACCAGCTCTTCCTCCCTGATCGTCCCATTTAGTGCCGCCAGCTCCCTCAGCTGTGCGCGCTTGTGCTCGTTGTGCCCCTCGTCCACAGGCACCAGCAGCTTCTGCACCATATCCGCTGCTTCACTAAGAGCTGCCTCGCTATCAGCCTCCACCAGCACGTGCAGGTCCTCGTTGTCCGCCGGGTCCGGCTTGAAATCCCGCCCGCCCTTCGCCGCCCGCCCCTCCTTCACCGACCCTTTCCCCCGGATCACAATCTTGGCGCCTGTCTCCCTCTCCATGCGCTTCTGCGTGTTGCCGCGCGGCCCAATGATAAGCCCGATGAAGTTATACCCCGGGTACTCCTTCATGGGGATAAACAGCTTCTTGTAGTATTTCGGCGGCTTGTAGTCCGCAGGCGGTTTGAACCCCGGGTTCTTCTTGATCATCTCCGCAATCACCTCCTGCCGCTCCCTCATCAGCTTCTCCTTGGCCCTCTGCTCCCGCGTGTTGATCCGCACGCCCATATTATCATATATCGGCTCGGGGGACGGTGACCTCTCCACTGCCCGCTCCTCAGTCAACCCCAGCGCAGCAGCCATGGCGCCTTCGATCCCCGCAGCAGAATCCCCAGTGAGATTCCCCGCCTGGAGCTTCTTGTTGATTTCCAGGAGGCGGATGTTGAGAGCTTGCACCTCAGGGTTGAGATCGCCTGAGATTTCCCGCACAAACTCTGGGAGCTTGATGGAGGAGAGAAGGGCCGCAGCGGCGCTTGAGACTCCGCACACACCAGCGGCTGCTCCTGCTGCTGCTGCAGAGGGTTCGCTGTCACCCCATCGGCTCTTCCTCTTGCGCTGGGTTCCTGCTGCGTTGTTCGCTCCAACGCCCGCGTCTGCTGCCCCTCCTGTCGCTGCTCCTGCATCCTCGCCTGCACCTGCTGCTGTTGCCTCCGTTTCTCCTTCCGCTGGGCCCCACCTGCTGCGCCTGCGCTTCCCTGCCTTGCCATCCGCGCTGGCAGCAGCACCTGCACCACCACCACCAGCAGCGGCACCACCACCAGCCGCACTGGCTTCTGACGTCCCTGCACCCGCTCCCGCTGCTTGTGCAGCTCCCAGAGCCGCACTCGGAGGAGCAACGGTGCTCCCAGCAACACCAACCGCAGCAGCAGCGGCCATACCAGGCGCAGGAACGCTGGCACCCATGGCTGCTCCTGCAATTGGCGCATGCCCGAGCACAGGCTCTTCTGCAGGCTGCCAGCGCGACCGGTGCCTGTGACCCTCCCCTGCCTTGGCTGGAGCACTGCCGCTCACAGCGCCACTGCCAGCAGCAGCAGCAGCAGCAGCAGGGACAGTGTCGTGACCATCGACACCGACACCAACACGGGCAGGAGCAGCCGGAGCAGGCAGCGCCGCAGCAGAAGAATTAATTCCTCGGGTGCCCTCTGCTGCCGTTGGCTGCTGCGCAATCTCCATGTCTGCACGGGCCAATGGGCCATTGGGCTCAAACGCAGAAGCTACTTTGGCCCGTGACACGCCCCTATCTCTCGACACCCCCCTCTCTCTCGACAACCCCCTCTCTCTCAACAACTCCCTCTCTTCACCACTCTCCATCTCTCTCGACACCCCTCTCTCCCTCGACCCACCTCTCTCTCGCGACGACCATCTATCCCTTGATTCCGCCCTCACCTCGCTCGACCCTGACCGGCGCGTCATCCGCCCCTCCTGCCGCTCCGCACCCTCCTCCCTCCCCTGCCTCTCCCTCTCCCTGTGCCGCCTCCTCTCCCTCCTCTCCCCGCCCCCCCGCCCATCATAGTAATCCGCGTCGCCCCCAAACCCTCGCCTGCTGTCCCGATACACCCTACTCTCGCGAGGCTCCCTCTCCCCATCCTCACCCTCACGTTCCCCCTCCTCCTCGCGCTCGTGCTCCTGCTCATGCCTCGACTTCTGGCGCTTCTTCTTATGGCGATGCCCATGCTCGTGCCCATGCCCATAGCCCTCCCCCTGCGCCGCATCCTCCCGCTCCTCGCTCCGCGCACCCCGGGCCTCGAGCCTCTCTTCGTGCCGCCTCTCCCTGTGCCGCCGCCGCTCCCTCTCCTGCCCGTACCCCATCGCTCCCCCCTCCTCGTCCTCCTCCCTCCGCGCCTCCACATGCTGCCCTTCCTCCGCCTCCTCCTCCTCCTCCTCCCCCGGCTCCCGTTTTACGTACCCCCTCACCCCGCCCACCTCCCCCCCCCCTCGGATCTTGTCAGCGCCCCCCCACGGGCTCGCATCGTCGCCCTTGCTTCCCTTGGCCGACCGCCAGTGCTGCTCGACCCCTCCTTCCTCGATCTCGCCGTGTGACCGCCCTCTCTCCGCCTCACCCAGCGGCCGGCGGGAGAATGTCCTCTGGGACTGCCGCGCGCGCGCGCCCTGCTCCCCCTCCCCCCACTGCCCCCGCCGCTCCCTCTCAGCCTCAACGGCTTCGCCATTCCGCCCCTCCTTGCGCTCCCGCTCGTCGCTCTCGCGCCCCGCTTGCTCCTGCTCCCGCCACCACTGCCCGTCATGCGGTTGCCTCGCATCCACCTGCCCCTCTTCCTCCTCTTCCTCCTCCTCCTCTCCCTCCTCCGCCTCCTCTTTCTCGTCCCTACTGCCTCCTTCGCCGTGAATGCGCAATTTCCACCCCTCCTCCCCCGGCTCCTCCCAATCCGCCGACCCCCCGCTCCAGCGACGCTGCTCCCGCGCGGGCACCTCCGCATCTTTCTCTGCGGCATTCCGCCTCCCCGCTTCCGGATCCCGCCGGCGCTCCTTAGCCGCCAATCCAGCTCCGGAATTCCGCCCAAACTGGTCGTCCTGCGCGGACTGCTGCGCATCCGCCCCGGCGGCGTCCGCGCCCTCGCCTTCGTCGCGATCCTGCAGGGGGATCTCCCCCTCCGACAATTCTCCTTCCTCCAACCCCGCGCCCGCATCCTCGCTCGACGGGCCGTGACCGCCGGCCGCTTTGTCTTTCGCGCCCTCGCGATCCTTCTCCACGCGCGCTGCCCGATCCGCTGCCCGATCCGCCGCCCGATCCTCTGCCCGATCCTCCTCTTCTTCGTCCGCACCTGCTGGAATCCCCGTCTCGAAGCTCCGATCTTTCTCCCACTGTTTTCCGCTTTCCTCCTCCCAGCCCCACTCCTTCTCGCTCGTTCTCCCCCTCTCGCTCCGCCTCTCGCGTTGATTCGGTCTTTCCTTCACCGCCTCGTCCTCCGCACCCGCGGGCGCAGCGCGGAAGCTCGTGTGCGCACGTCCGCCGTGCGGGCGATGCTGGCGGGACCGCTCCTCGCGCCGCTGTTGCTGCGGTTGCTGCAGCTGATAGCGCTCGTCCTCCTCCCACGCCGTGTAATATCTGTCCGTGCCTTCCTCCCGCTGCGGCTGCTGCGGCGGCTGCTGCTGCGCGTGCCGTTGCCGGTACTCCCCAGAATCGTGCCTCGCACTGTGCTCCTCTCCGCGCTCGCGCGACGTGCGACGCTCGCGACTCTTGTCGCGCGACGACGATTTGAAGCTTCGCACAGGGCCCCGGACGTGATGTGTCGCCGAATCTGTCGGTTTGTCGTCTTGCGCGAAGGTTCCCGTCGGCTCCTGGCGCCATGAGGGCTGGTTGTAGCCGCTGGCGCTGGTGCTGTGCGGTGCGCTCTGGAACGACCGCTCCATGGCACGCAGACGGTGCGACACGCACGAGATCCAAACCCTCGAGACTGGTTACGAATTCAGATTCAGAAACCAATTCCGTCGCAGATTCAGATTTGAGTCAGATTTGAATCAGGATGTAGGTTGATACGGATGCAGGAATAACCGGCGGACAGACGGAATCAGGAATCGGCGATGGAGGCTCCTTGAATGACACGATCTATGACCAAGCAAGAATAAGGGTTAAAAAAAATGGACTAATCAAAACCGAAATCGATGCTTGCTTGACGAGTCACGAGGAGCTAGTTCCGCCTGGAGCAGTATGACCACGAAGACTAGAGATGAGGAGCAAGATGCGATGGGCATTCCACAATCAACCAGCATGGTTGGGCTAGGAATCGTGTGTAACCCACAAAGGATCTACTCTGCAGGATAGAGGCCATTCAATCCGACAGGACCTGGCGACTAGGCAGAGAGAGAAGCCAGAGCGGGCAGGGCAAGGCTTTTCGCGGGGATGGCGAAGCAGAGCCAAGGCAGGGTGCAGCTGAAGCGGCCGAACGGGGGGTGCAGTCCCGAGGGGTTTGGCCTCGGGCAGAGCAAACTCGAGAGGCAAATCTCGACAGGCGAATCCCAAGGGACGCCAGCTTCTCGCTGCAGTTTTGGACTCCATGGAATTTGTAAAAGCTGACCGTCTTGATGGTGCATTCCACGACAACTGTATACCCTCATCAATCATTATTTATTTCAAAAAGTACACAAACATGCCAAGCAAAGATGCAAGCATTAGTTGCGTTGCAATTATTGAGCATTGATGGTTGCAATCATGGAAACGTTGCAGTTATGAACAGGCAATTATGCAAAGACATCCTTGAGAAACCTCTGCCAAGTAATGTCCAAAATTGTCCAAGCAAACCTCCCATATCCACCATCCCCTTCCAACACAATCCAACAGACCCAATCCTCCCCCACCCCCCACCCCCCACCCCCGCCCTCCCTACAGCTGCTGACGAGGAGTCAGCTCAATGGTCGAAGGAGAACGTCGCACCACCAGCGCGAGAAGCAGAACATGCGAGGCAACCCCCACAGCTCCACCATTCAGAACAAGCAAGCCACCACCAAGGCCCACAGCAACAGTAGCTGCAGGCATGAGCAAATGCTTGACTGCTGCCAGAGGTCTGAAACGCCTCTGTCGCCTTTGCTGCTGTTGTGGCCACTGCGACTGACCTGCCACGCCTTCAAATGCAGCTCTTTCAGCTGCGGGCTTATCATTGCCAGGGCTCGTGTGCAACAGAGCTGCAGTGCCACTGGCATGCAACTTGTGAGCATCTACTGCCGCCACCGCCGCCGCTGCTGCTGCTGCCATGGTGAAGCTGGGAGGAGTAGTGGCTGTCTGCCGGCAATGAGCGTGGAAGGCAGCATCCGGTGCACCCTCGGGGATCAGATGAGAGGGCACCTGCCAGACAGAAACAGGATAAGAAGAGGGTAAGGATTCCATGAGACCACAGCCCACCCATGGCAATACATGATACCAAGTACAGAGACGTATATGAGACCAAGGTGCCACTGACCTGCTTCACCACAGACAGGGGAGGCAGCACCCGAGGTGCTGATGCCGCAGCCACTGCTTTCTCCACCAGTGCACGGCGTCCTTGCTCCCCAGCGCGGTGTGCGGGAATGCACTTCTTCATGTACGTGCGCAGGTGCGAGTCCGTGCTACGGATGTACCCCCATGCGCCACGGCGGTACGCCAGCTTGGCCATGTCGCGCTGCATGCCGCTGTCCTCCTGCACCACCATGTCCATCTCCGCTGCCACCCTGCCGTCAGGCAGCACCACTGCGCGGAAGGGAGACAAGAGACAGTGACACACAAAATGGGACAGCAGCACGGGAGAATGTCAGAATGGTTATGGGAAAGGAGGGACCTGTGAAAACTTTGAACGGTGTGCCATGCGAAAGGCAAATGACAGGCGCAGATTGAAGGGCAGGGGCTGGGGCAGCAACGTACCATCCCTCATGCGCCACTCTGATCGGTACACATCAACACGCCGTGGCTTGTTCTTCCTGGGCACACTCGCGTCCTCCACCGCCTTGGTGATACAGAAATACGTCTCGCCCTCGTCGCCCTCAGCGCCCGTGCTGCCCTGCAGCCCCGCCGTCTTCCCGCTGCCCCCCTGCTGCCACACGCGCCAGGCGAGCACATACTCGCGGGGCGCGCAGAAGGGGTACTTGCGCTCAAAGCGCGCACTCTGCACGCCCGTGTGGGGGCAGGCGAGGAGGGGGTCCATGGAGCGCAGCATGGGGTCCCAGCGTGGCATGTACGCGCAGTCCGTGTAGAAGGCGCATGTGTCGCGGGCAGTCGCGCCAATGAAGCGGATGCGCGAGCGGTACTCCGTCACGCCTCCGTCCTGCAGGGTGATGCGCACAGGTGAAGGGAAAGAAGGGGAGAAAGAAAGGTAAGGTAGGACCCTGAGAAGCTATAACTTGAAATATCTGGCACTGCACAAACCAACATGCATTGTACTGCCACAGGCTTTAAATTTCACTCTCCCCATCCACCCACCACCACTATGCACTACCCTCACTACTCAACAGGCCAAACCCCCTCATCTCCCCCCCCCCTTGCTCCCTCCCCTGCGCCGTACCTGTGGGTCGCGGCGCCACGTCATGTACTCGACGTTGCTGCTGTGCTTGTCAATGATAGCCTCCCACGGCCCCTGCTCGTCATCGTACGACCAGTCCAGCTGCAGCATCAGCGCCGCCAGGTCCCGCGTGCCCACCAAAGCCGCCGCCTCCCGCAGCTCCGCCTGCACCGCGCGCGAGTCCGCTGCGCGCACTAGCGACAGGGACGGATCGACGGGGTGGGAGAGGTCCTTGGCGCGGTCCCGCAGCTCCGCGGGGTCGCTGTGGATGAGGCGCAGGGGCGACGGATCGGACACGGGGCTGCCGGGAGCAGGGCGTGGAGGGGAGGGAGGAGGGACGGGGGGGGAGGTAGGTTGAGAGGCGAGATGGAAGAGTTGAAGGGGATTCGGGTGGGGGGTGGGGGAAATGTGGGGAGGGATGAGGATGAGACAACGGAGAAAGTAAGCGTGAGGTGAACTAGCTTGGGAGGAATGTGGCTGCGGAAATATTAAAGAAAATGCTGCCCCCGAGCACGTTGTGTGAGCGCTATCTGCGTACCTCATTTCCTCGATCGATGACTCGCTGAAGACAGTGGGCAGAGCGGCCATGGACCGCGACGCCGAAGAGAACAGCTGCGACAGGCTCTGGAGAGACGAGCAGATAAGAGGGAAGGAAAACGAACGAGACGAAGACGTTGAAACAAGGATGACGGGAATAGAGACTCGCAATGCAGCTCATGACCAGAATGCAGCAAACAATCACAGTAAAGAATGGCAACAGCGAATCGCAGCAGCACATAAAGTCATACCCTGACGAGCACGGCAGGCGAGTCCCCCAGCGAGAGTGACACGGGCGACTTCATGATGCTCTGCGACCACGACGCCACGTTGCTCCACGCGCTGCTGCTCGCACTGCTCAGCCCCATGGAGATGCTGCTGGGAATATTCATGCTCATGTTCATGCTCATGCTCCTAGGCAACGTCAGGCAAAGACTGCTCGGCAGACTGCGGGACAACGGCAGGCCCCCTTTCATCTCATCCCCCGCATGCCCCTCTTCTCCTAGCTCCTGTACCACCTCCTCCTCCTCCTCCGCCTGCTCCTCGTCGTCGCACGACATGTCGCTTAGATCATCCTCTGAGTCCAGACGAAGAAACGCGCTCACAGGGGCCGACGACACGGCCAGCGACGGGGCAGGGGCTGCGAGCAACAGCGGCGAGGCCGCTACAAGGGTCGGCAGGGACGTGACGGATTCCTCGCTGCAGGCTGTGGATTCCGCCGCTGACTCTGTTGAGGAGTCGGACTGTGCTGGCGAGGGGGAGGGCGAGGCAGAAGACGTGGAGGACGAGGAGAAAGGGAACCAGTAGCCAGGCAGGCTGATGCTGGACGGGAAAAAACCCCCACCGCCGCTGCTGCTGGTGCTGCTGGTGCTGGGTGCCGTGGCGCTTCGTGCAACGACGGCTTCAGGAACGACATGTGGCGGGGTGCAGGGAGGGGGGGTGATAGCCGCTGGTGGTGGAGTGAGCGAGTTGCTGGAGAAGGAGAAGGAGAACCACGCCGACGAGCGACCCACTCCGCTAGAGCTGCTCGCCGTCGTCGCCTCGACCTTCGCTCCCCCCTGCCCATCGCGGTCACCCGCAAACTCCGGGCCAGTAACACTGCTCGCGTCAGCCGTGCTGCCCTGCTCGCTCTCGCTGTGGGAAATGCTGCTCCGTGGAGCCGAGGGAAGAGGAGAGAGCTTGAGGGTGGCTGCGGCTGCGGCGCAGAGGGCCGTCATGAGGAAGAAGATGAGCAGCGACATCTGATGGTCCGCGCCGTCCGGCACGTGCCAGAGCGAGAACGCCGAAGCCTCGAGAACTCTGCGGAGAGCGCGGCAAGAAAACAAGGGCACACGACCAGGGCAGAAAACACAGAACCTTATGACGACCGCCGGCTCAGGCATGGAGACAGTGTGGCAACAAAAGGAAGGACCAGACGATGGTTGGGAGAGGGCGACGGAAGAGGGGAGGGGGAGGAGGAGGGAGAGAAGAGAGGACGTAAATTTTCAAGATATGGAGGTGGGAGGGGGAAGAGCGGAGTGACCGAGAGCAGCACCTGATATCAACGGAGAAGCCAAGCGACGAGAGCAAGTCCAGGAGAGATGTTGGCGATCTGTACGCCGCCATGTGCGCTCCCGCCATGGCTGTGACGCTGAGCCCTGACCCGAGAACCACCACCGACGACCAGCCGCTCTTCCCCTGCGACTGTAGTTGAGAGTTCTGCGACTGAAGCTGTGAATCCTGCGACTGAAGCTGAGAGTCGGGAGACAAGCGCTGCTGACTCGCCGAACTGCTGGTGAATCTGGTGGGAGGAGAAAGGGGGTGAGGGAGTTCAACCGGGAGTCCATTGAGTTCGGAGCAAAACGATTTATTTAAAAAGGTAGCTAAACGATCCAATGTGGCCCGAAGGCCTAGGGGAGCGAAGTGTTCAGGTGAGAAACACTCACAAGTCAGTGGTTGCTGACGGTTGGTCCGCAGTCATGAGAGGACCTTTGGCTGAACTCGCTTGAGAAGTCATGCCAGGCGATGGAACCAGAGAGTCCGACTGAGCATTCACGCAACGAAGGACGGACGGGACGGAATTCGATCCGCGCTGTAGGTCGCTGTGCTGCCATGATCCAGCGACAGACGCGACAGCCGTGGCCTCCTGCTCACCCATGCAGTGCAGGGTCACGGCGGGGATAACTCCACAGGTACTCATGGCTACCGAGAAAACACTTGAAGTATAAAGCTCCAGAAGCGTCTGAGCCGTTGATGATTTGCTGCTTCACAGATTCAGCTGGGGAGCGAGAACGACTAAACTGCTTCGACCCTCAGATTGAGGATGGAAACAGCACGTTTGAAAAATCGTACTGACTGAACACTAAGAAATATGGCACCACTAAATGCATCAGCTGAGATGAAAAAAAACTGCGAAGTGGATCGAGGCGATTCCACTCACGCAGTCACGAGAGCACAGCAAAGCAGACACGGAATGCCTGCTGCTAGGGCTCTGACCTCTGTGAGACTTCAACCACAAGATATACTGTAGGAGCTCCCAGAAGGGGGCAGGTACGTCCTGTACCTTCAGCAGCACACACCCAAGCGTCTCCTCCTCGCCTAGGAATTGGATTCTCAACTCAAGTGCCTCCTGGCTGACTCTGTGTGTGTGTGTGCTCGCACTGCTCTCCACTCTGGATTCGAGATTCCTCCTCACAGGTACAGAACTCCAGATCGCTGTCTGTGCGGACCAGAGGAGGACAGACTGGGCAGAGCGGAATGGCGGAAGTCAAAGGATGTGGCTTCCGCGGACCAAATGTCGCATCAGGGATTCGGGGAGCATGGCATGGCAAGGCAGCTCGTCCAGGGCTGGGCAATCCTCTGCGCTGGTGAGAGGGGATTGGTTCGGGTTCCGTGAGGATTCTGACCCCTGGAACGGTTTTGCTTGGGTGGTAGTTGCGCGGGGTGATACTGTACAGTACATGCGTTTCAGCTTCCGCGCGCGCGGAAGTAAATCTGTGCCCTGCCCTTTCCGAATGGGCGGAACGGGGATAAGAAAGGAATCGGAATAACCAGGGCTGATGTGGCTGGCGGGATGGAGTCTGTCACACGGGTGGGCTGCGGTGCGGAAGATTTGGCTTTCATTGGCCCAGCAGGACAGCTCAGGCCCTATTCTCAAAACTCAGAACGCTTGTCCGACGTGGACATCACAGAATTATCAGCCTGAATCGCGGCAACTGCAAAATTGACGTGGGTTGGAAGATTTCCGTTGATGAGGAGCACACACGCTCGATTTTCGACGTGGATCGAGGACAATACATGCTGGCGCTGCTCTGGAAAACTCCCGCCTGCATCCGAGACCACGGAAGCCACGCATGAAACCCGCTGAATCTTAGGAAGCCAGTTACGTTCGAAAGGTTCAGCGGGGAAGATCATCTCGTCCTTACCCAGAGAGCAAGGCCGAAAACACGCGTGCTGTGATTGATGTGAACATTATCCTCGCGAGTGGTGTCACACCGACCTCTGAGTTGAGGCTGACCTACCAACGCTCACCAATAATCATATGAAGTACACTGCTCCCTTGGCATAATCGTGCCTGCCAATCGACTAGTGGGAAACGGGCGGGCAGTAACAAGAGGCGTGCAGAAAATACATGAAATGGAATCATTCACTAACATAACAACTGCACATGAGTACACTCAAACAAAATGGTTCCCTTAAACCACTATGCTAGTAAAATGACATTTGAAGCATCCATTGGTGATTACCACAAGCTGGCTAGCTTGGTCACCACACTAGATTGTCGAACAAGGAGTATTCAAGGTTTGTTCATTCAAGTTGTGTAAATGATGTGGTGCATTACACAAACGCGAGTTATCCTTGCCAAGAGAGACAAAGCAGTTATGGAGGTTTGTGGACCGTGTGGTGCGGGCCTTCATCCTAAGAGGTTGATATTGGGGTCTCCATGCAATTCTCACTCTTCCATAATGAAAGCAAGGGCCATCTAAACAAGGCAAGTGTATACACCAACCCACCTCTCCCTTCCGGAGTTTTGAATCACTTCCCTTCACCTCATGGCAAATTCCTACAGCCTCGTGTCAGACTCGTCATTTCGCCCGAACCGCTGCTTAGGGCGCATTCCTACAACCTCGCGTTAGACTAACATCGCGTTAGACGCGAGGTTCCCTGTATTGGCTGCCTCGCGTCAGAATATGCAGCACGCACTTGCAAATCGTTTTTTGTGGAAAAGTATATGCGACCAAAAGGAAAATCGTCACCACCAATGGCACATCGTCACGGTGATCGAATTGCCAAGGTTGGCACCTTAGCACCGACGCACCTCGCACGCGCGGGAAAGCACTGAAACGAACGAGGAGAAAGATGCGACCTACAGCGTGAATTTCGCCGCATCGACGAACTCACAAATTGCATCTGCTAACGCGCAAAAATCATTTCGCGCTTAAAATTTTGCCGAGTTGCGTGTGTCAAAGTAGCTAGCTAGGAAGAGGCGCCATGGAATGGGGAGAGGTTTTAGGTGCTAGAAAAATATCGAGAGAGAAGAGAGAGGGATACAAGAAGGGGGGTTATACCCTCTACAGTAGAATCCAGTAACACCTACCAAGCCTACCATTATGTATATATGTATATATATATATATATCAAATTTATAATTTAACACACCCCCTAGGCTTGGTAGCTGAAAGCCCACCACACACACAACGCACTAAGCTACACACCCCCTAAGCCTTGCACCCCCATACTCAACAGCAGCGACAGCTACTCCAGCAGGGTCAGCCCCTCGACGCGTGAGGCGGCAATGTCGACAGCGAGGGCAGCGGCTACAACGGCGGCAGCGTCGACAGCGGCGGCGGCAGCGGCGTGCGGCAGCGTGGCCAGCGGCACCAGCTGCGGCGGCGGCGGCTTCGACGACAGCTGCCGGCGGCGGCGGAGCTCGTAGCACTCGGCGGCATGGCCGTGCTCCGCGACGGTGGGGCGGCCGGCGCGAGTCAGCCGTCGGTTGCGGCGAGGAAGAGGGGACGCAGGGGAAGGGGGCGGGGCTTCATCTGCGGAGCCCGGGAGCGTGCCGCCCTGTGTGACGCGCTGGCCAGTGCTAAGACGGAGCACTGGCCGCTGCCGTCCGTGCCGTACGCGCGCTGGCAGCACGTCGCCAAGACAACACGACGGTGCCGTCACGCCGCCACGGCTCAACGTCGACGACGCTGCCACGGCTTGACGTCGACGCCACGACAGCGCGACGCCACGGCAGGGCGTCGAGACGGTCGCGGCAGCACGACACGGCCGGCGACACGACGACGGCGCCACAGCAGCACGAGGCGGCCGCCATGGCAGCGCGAGAGGTAGAGGAGGAGTGCACGGCGGAAGCATGATAAGCAGGCCCAGGAAGAGCAACCTGCTCTGAAACCATATCAAAATAGCTAGCTAGGAAGAGGCGCCATGGAATGGCGAGAGGTTTTAGGTGCTAGGAAAATATCGAGAGAGAAGAGAGAGGGATACAAGAAGGGGGGTTGTGCCCTGTACACTAGAATCCAGTAACACCTACCAAGCCTACAATTATATATATATATAGTAAGTCTATAATTTAATAGCATGGTGCTGGTTTGAATGAACCGTTATTTGCGAGTGAAACGTACGCACGTGACACCTTTTGCGACGCTTGGCACGTGCACCCAAGTCTGATACGAGGATGGTGATCTGAGCAGTAGTTCGGGAAAAATGACGAATCTGACGCGAGGCTGTAGGAATTTGCCCTAAGAGAGAAAAAAAAATTGAAGGCACCAAACCGTAGCTCTTTGAATTTCACTTCGAATGGGCCAAGCTCATATTGGGGTCGTGTTGATGGATTTTGTAGAATCGGCTCGGGAATGTCATGCCAGCATATCCTTTATGGAATCTAGCCAATCAGAGCCGAAATCGAGTAAATTGACTGAGCGCAAGTTGCGCGCCTGTCTCGCTAGGATCTTGGGAGGGCTATGGGAGGTATGGCACGGCATTTCGAGAACAAAAAATTAGCGTTTCGCCCGTTTTTTTTCTACAAGTATAATGCGCTTATAATAAACGCATCCTCCAATAAAAAGGTGCGCTTATAATGAAATCAACGGATATAAGCGCATTTGCATTGCATAAGCCCATAGGCTTAATAAATGGCTGCGCTTTTATCCGGCTGTATACAGTACGTCCGGCTCACTTTTTTTGTTTGAGATACATCCAACCCCCCGTCTCGCATGATACACTCGGTAGGTCCTCTATCCTAGGGGTCATCCGCGCCTAACTAAAAAAAAAATGCCAGGAAATTCCAGCCCAGTTTTCTTCACTCACTCAGTTTACCTCAAGTGTATGAACCTTCATCAGTTCGCTACAATTTCCTATATTTGGTTGTAGACCTTACATGCCACACCTTACAGTTGGGACTGAACTCCCCTTCCTTCTATCCAGATTCACATTTGGGCTCTGGAACCCCCTCCCCCGCCTCATACTTTTTTTCAGGGTATGCAATTCCCTCACTTGCTTCACCCTTTAACTAGGGGTCTGGAACCCCCTCCCTTGCCTCACCTTGCGGCTTGGGGTGTTAAACCGGGGCTCTTGCCTCGCCTTGACGTGGGGTTTGAGATTTCCCTCCCTTGCCTCAAGCTATAACTTGTCATGAAACCCTTTCCCTTGCATCACCTTGTAACTTGGGGTCTGAAACCTCCTTTCTCGTTTCACCTTGTAACTTGGGGCCTGAAACCTGCTTTCTCGTCTCACCTTGTAACCTGGGGGCTGAAACCCCCCTCTCTTAACTCGACCTTGGGGTCTGAAACCCCCTCCCTCATGTTGTCAATTGGGATCTGAAGCCCCATCCCTTGGCTCTGACTTGGGGTCAGAGAACCCCTCCCTCAACAACCTTACGAGTTGGAGTCAGGCCTATCTTCACCTTGTAACTTGGGGTCTGAACCCCCCTCCTTTGCCTCACCCTCTTGCTCGCCCACTCTCCCGCTCGCTCGCTCTCCCGCGCTCCTGCTCTCCCTCTCTCTAGCTCTCCTGCTCTCCCGCTCGCCCGTGCTCCCATGCGTCTGCTCTCCTGCTCTCCCGCTTGCCCGTCCTACCACTCTCCCACTCTCCCACTCTCCCGCTCGCTCTTGGTCCCGCTCTCCTGCTCTCCTGCTTGCCCGCTCGCCCGCCCCCCCTGCGAGCCCGCTCTCCTGCTCTCCCGCACACCTGCTCTCCCGTTCTCCTACTCTCCCACATTCTCGCTCTCTCACTCTCCCACACTCCCACACTCTCCCCCTCTCACTCTCCCACTCTCCTGCTCACCAACTCTCCCACTCCCACTATCTCACACGGAAACACCCCCAACCTCCCAATCAAGGGGGAAAGTGCAGCCCAACTGTGAGTTGAGGAGGAAGGGTGGGCTTCAGACTTCAACAAACACGCCGACTACAAGTTGAGTTGAAAGGGTGGGGTTCAGACTTCAACTCACACCTCGACTGTAAGTTGAATGGAAAGGG